CCCTTTTTTGAAAGATCCGACTGTATTTTTCATTTATTTGAACTGGAAAATATCAGATTGGATATTCACTTCATCTGGATTTTTTTCAGATATTTTTACTGATAATTATTCCTATCGCGATTAATTCCACTTTTTTAAGAAACGGAAAGGAAAGGGTTATGTATTTAAGACGAAATGAGTCGGTTAGACAATAAAAATGAACGGTTAAAAGCATTGTTACAACAATTTTAGACATTCGTTCTACGTTGATTAAAATGATATACCAGTATTGTTTGTCTTCTACCAGATACTTAGTGACATCAAATGCAAAATATTTAGCTCATATGTTTATGAGTATTCATGTGCTTTTTTAGACTTTGCAATTCTGTTCCATTCGCCTTACGCCATGTGGCTTTATTTCTGACTTTTCAGAGGGTATAAAGCTAAATTAATACTGCCGGGTGTGTTTGTACAATAAATATTCGAATTTGTTTAAAAACTCCGATAATAAAACATGTATCTATAAATAAAAAATAGTTATGATAAGTCATATTGATCTATCAGAGAAAAAAAGATATTGGAAGAACCCGGGCAAGTTTGTTTGTTAGTTTTGGGTTTACGTCACATCGACACAGTGTAGGTCATATCGCGACGTGCCAGCTTTACTGGTGGAGGAAGACCTAAGGTGCCCTTCCGTGCATTATTTCAGGCACGAACGGGCACCTGAGTAGAACCACCGACGTTCCGTAAGCTAGCTGGATAGCTTCCTCACAAGAAAGAATCCAAAGTCCCTGTCGGCATTCGAATCCACAGCGGTGAGGGGCAAGTGGTTTGAAGTCAACGACCTTAACCACTCGGCCACGGACGCCCCCACCCGGGCAAGGAAAATTTATCATTACGATAAAAAAATACGACAAAGTCCAACTTATTTGTATCTTGTATTTCAGTTTTTTGCATTCTTGAGTTGAAAAACAAAACTACAAACTTTAACGCCATTATGACACCAAGCGAACGATGCGTACATCACCAATATATATATAGGTGATAACATAATAAGCTTGGCTCAAATAACAAAATGTTATTTTGTTTATCAAAATGTATATATCATGCATGTACAAACAGGTAGTGTAGTACATCATTTAAATTGTGTCAATCTAATTTTTATTCATTTATATTGGTTTTCTCAATGAATCCTATCTAAGAGGTATTGAAACAAAATACAACCTAACTCCATTAATTGGCATGTGACAATCCTTAATTGCAGTAATATATTGTGTTTAGTTCATGTTCAAATATACTTTACAATATTCGATAAAAATATTGTCACTATATTTATGGTTATGTCTAAATTTGTAGTAATATGATTAAAATATGTTACAAACACTTCCGTGGCTTAATATCCGAAATTTGAGTTTAGATGTTATTTACCTGTAAACCCATACAAACGGAGATTAATTCAAATGTCAGGGAAAGGCCAGTGAATAACATCGTAAATAAAGCATATTTGTTCCTCTACAAATCAAATTTACGTCTTTGATAAATAGTGTAATATGTTCTCGAGTACGTGCGAAACCACTACGTCATGTTAAAGCCAGTAAGTGCAACTTTAACTTATCAATTTCTAATCAGTTGGAACTAACAAGTACTGATGTCATGCAAGATTGCATGGCCTTACCATGAGTAGGGCTTGAGAGGCATCATAAATATTAGGCCTACACTCTGTTTAAAGATCATAATGTTATATTCTCCTTTCATTTATAATTCATGCACCAGATCTTCTCAGATATTACAACACGATTATACATTTTTAAGTTCAAAAGGGTATGCTTGTGAAAATGTTCAGTTATCTCAATAATCGAGGCCCGATGAAATAGTATCGATCATGAGATAAGTGTACATGTGAACAACACGTTGTGTTTATGCATGCTACTTTGCACTAATTATATAGTATGGTGTAATAACTGAGCAGTGAGTGATTATCGGATGGAATTAAGCACTTACGTGCTTTTTGTTATTTTTCAAGCGTCAGCGTTCCAGATTCTTGTATATTTCATAAAAACTTTAAATTTGTACACGTTTTATAATTATGGATTGTTGAATATTTATATATTTTGAAATTGCTGCTCCAAAATATGCTTTATTTTTCTCCTCTATTCTTTTTCTGTTTGTAGTACTTTAAGATTGTTTGTGGTATATTTCCCCAAGGATAGCAGTAAATAAAAAACTGTTTCTAGTATGATTTAAAGTAGATTTTTCTGCCTTTAAGGGCGCATGCAGTTTCATGATCATAGTTTAACTTTTGATAGATTTTTGTTTTAAAGTTCCTATTATATTCAAATAACCAGCATTTTACCGCACGAACTAGCGATATATAAAGCTCATTAACTTAATTGACCATAATTGTATAATACGGAGGAAAATACGGCTTAATTTGATTTTTATATGAATGTTAACTTGTTGGCACTTAGCAGTATCCATTATATTTTGATGGGTCAACATGTTCTATAAATAAAAGTAAAACAAAATAAAGGAAAAATTTCGCGTTTGTTATACATTTCAACAGGAAAACAGTTTCGTAATGCCAGTATTGTTAAAAACCATTTAAATATCTAAACACTGCGATTGACCGGGGTTGTCGATAAATAACAAACCTATCATCCGTTTTGCTTATATTTTTTGTTTGTCCACAATATTTATGGAAAGATATTTAGTATTTGTTTAAACTCTTTATTAATACACGAACCAGTATCACTATTTTGCTGTTAATGTTTTGCACCATAATCATACTTATTCTTCTTCATATTTTCTAAATGTAAGGCATTATATATGCCTAATTTTGATCAAGCATAAAATTTTTCGAACTACTCCTAACGGCATGTAACTTAAAAAGCGTCGTCTGTTGCTGTGTCAGAAATATCAGACATCCGTATTTTAATTTGAAGAAAAGTTTTATGTATATTTTTTACTGTCAAATGTGTGAAATTGATAGCATTACCAAATATAATAATAATTATATAACGATTAGTTTCTCGATAATCGTCATTAAAATATCTCGATTACATTTGCCAAAATCTGACGGGTTTTTATACCTCTCTTTTTGATGTAAATTTACAGGTACCTGACTCAATAAACAAAAACATCATCTTTTCATAAACATTTTACATTGATTTATGTGTAGTTATTAAAAACTATAATTCTTTATTATCACTTCTCAGGTAAAGAAAATTGAACTTAAACTGTCATTATTTTTCAAACATTATGGTTAACTTTTGTTGTTTTTTTGTACATTGTGTATATATGTCCAGAGTATAGTTCTGTATAAGATTATAAATATAAAATTTTAAAAGTCTTTTGAAAAAGTGTCAATTTTACATCAAATACATTAAGTATCTTTATAAGATATTCACTTAAGGGAGGGACGAATGCCTACTTCATGATAAATAAATGCTTTTTTGGTACATCTTCCTGTTTGTATGTAATAAAAGTTATAATTACATTTATAGTGCAGTAAAGAAAATTTAATTCGGATGCATTTTTAACTATTAAGTCTGATTTTATTTGTAAATTTATTTTCTGAAACATATAATATTGCATGGACACAATAGAATGCATAGATTTAGACAAATAAATGCAATTCCAAATATATCTGATCGTTTATTCGTGAAAGTGTCCAAAAATACACGATTTAATGCGGAGAATGATTACAGCAATATTCACGCTTTTCAATTCCAACAAATGAGGATAGTAGCTGCGTTATCTCTATCATCTTATAGAGGCTGATTTGGGACACTATGTGCGTCGCGTTGTCACAAGCGACAACACTGTCGTCCTGTCGTTCTGTCGCTTATAATGCACGCCAAACGGCGGGCATTCGTTTCCGATGACACATCGTCGCTCAGTTCAATTCAAAGAATTGGCTATCTGTATATATATGCCGCACGACAAGACGAAAGAATATAGCGATATTTGTTGTGTTGTCGCTTGCGACAACGTAACGCGCCAAACTTTCACCACTAACAAATTATTCACCGTACAATACAGTGTATTGGATAATGCATACTTCACTAAATGCATTATTAGATACCTCGGTCCTGTCCGTTGGTCTGTTATAATAATAGATACAAAAACAATTATCTGCTGTCATTATCAGCTGAATAAGCAATCTAGCGGGGCATTCCTAAATGAAGAGTAAACTGCTCAGATTAAGTACTCAGCTGTTTTGGCAATCTAGCAATCCAAAATATGGTGTTAAAATGATCTGCTGAAATGCTCACCAGGCTAGACAATCAAAAAGGGCATTGTGAAATATAGTTTAAAAATGCTCTCACTGCTGAAATGACAAGCTGGCAGAGCAATCTAGCAGGTCATTATTAAATAAAGTGTAATAAAGTTTCTGCTAGGATGCCAAGCTTGCAGAGCAATCTAGAGGGAAATTCTTAAATTTTGTTATAAATGCTTACCTGAAATGCTCAGTCGGCAGAGCAATCCAGCAGAACAATCTGAGATATAAACTGTTAAGAAAGTTACAAAGTAAAACTGCTCTGCTTGAATGTTCAGCTGATGGACCAATATGTTATTACATGTAATAGATATACCATTGCTGCGTTGACGATTTCTGGGTTTGCGTAAATTATACCATAATCACGTGACCTTTCTTATGCGTTGACCTCAGAAGACGAAGTCGCAAACCCAGAAATCGTCAACGCAGCAATGGTGTATCTGTTTTAACCTATAGCTCCGCCCAGAAACACTAACTCCATAGCAGAAATGACGTAAAATGAGCTGTCAATCAAAATAACATGACGCTACTGTTTTAACCTATTGCTCCGCCCAGAAAATCTTATCCCTTTGATCTGAATTTGCATAGCAGCAAAGACGTGAAATGAGCTGTCAATCAAAATAATGGGCTGATTTTTCCCCGCGTGGAAGCTACATTTTCATTGGTAGCGGCATGGACCCTTTTCTCTATTCAGTCATCTGTCTCATTTTAAAGTTTTACTTCAATTCACATGATTCGATTCGGCATGGCTTGGAATGACAATTTGTCGTTCACAGAAAATTTAGAAGACAACATTGTGTCTCAACATCTGGACATTTATGAAGAAGATATGGCTTTATCTCAGTACCTTGATCAGGCTGAGACAGATCTGGGGATTGATACAGTTGGAGTGAATTTTCTTCTAACACAAAATGTCGAGGACTTTATCAACGAAATATCAATCGACATGGACGAAAGTGATCAAAGCAACATTTTGCTTTCTGAAAATCAAGACAAAAAATCCATGAATATACCGTTGCCAACGGCGTTAGAATGTTCCGAGACAAGCCGCTTTGATAGCCTTGAGGATTGTGACATACGTGAACGATTGGAGCAGTCTGTTCCAAAAGATACCAAAAAATCTACAAATTGGGCATTAAAAGCCTTCAACGAATGGCGTACGGTCAGAAATGCCGGCAAACTTAGCCAACAGGTACCGCCATTAGAGGATTTTAATGTAGACGATGTGAACAACCATCTCAGCCGTTTTCTCATGGAGGTACAGTTTGATTTATTCTAATTTTCATTATTTTTCTTGTAATTCAGTATTTTTGTATGATATTGTTAGCAATAGTTTTTATCATATCGGGATAAATACCATTTTTAGCTGTTTTCGATAATTTCCATTATTTCGCAAAAAACAGCTTTGACAGATAAATGGCTAAATATAATAGGAAAAAAGATTGTCCTAAACCTTGTAAAAGCGTAGCATTTTAATTTGTGCCATGAATTTCATCTTTTTTCAATAGCATTGTCGTTATTATTGGAAATGAAATGGAAATTTCTTTTACAATTATGCAAACATAGGGAGTTGAAAGTAATAGAAAAGTATATTTAAATCTAGAATTTTTCTGATTTGAGTTTTTTTGATAAATACATGCATGGCTATGTATGTCACAATGTTTAAAATCTCTGGACCGACAACCTCTATATCAATCGGCATACATACCAGCCTGTCCGATGTCGATGCCCAATGTAATAGTGTGTTGCCAATTTTGTTCGTGTATTAATTCTAAATTGTTACATTTTAATAGGTCAAGAAGCGGGATGGAAGTTTCTACCAAGCCCGGTCACTTTATCTTATTGCTAGTGGAATCTTGAGATATCTTCGTGACTCCGGCATTCCAAATATGAATTATATGAACGAGAAGGACATTTCTTAACATTTCGTAAATGTCTAGATGCACAGATGAAGTATGTGACTAGCAAGGGCATCGGTGCCAATATCAAGCAGGCTGATCCTGTAAGTGCAGAACAGGAAGAATTGTTGTGGAGAACAGGAAAATTTGGATATGAAAATGCAGAAAGCCTGTTGAATGCAGTGTTCTTTTACAATTGTAAATTGTTTGGAATGCAAGGCAGAGACGAACATTACAATCTTGAAAGTGACCAGTTTATTATTTCCGAAGATGATGGCGGAAAGTTCATTCAGTTTATTGGTAGAGACAACAAAACTTTTAAAGGTGGTTTAAAACACAAAAAGGTGGAGAATAAAAACATTAAACACTATTCTTCTGATAAGATATACAAGGTGTATCAAGATTATACGAGTCTTTTAGGAGACGATGTGGTAAAATTTTATAAACGTCCAATTAAAGATACTAAAAGATTATCTGCTCAAGTTCTTGGTAAAAACAAACTTGAAAACATGATGAAAAATATTTGCAGTGGTCTCGAAGGCAATTTCACAAATCAGTCTGGAAAGCGCACGTGCGCAACAACCTTGTATCAAGCTGGCGTTTGCGAACAGAGTATAATGGATCGTACAGGACACCGTAGTGTCCAAGGTGTTCGAAAATATAAACGACCCTCATGTGACCAGTTGAGAGATATTTCAAATGTACTTGATTCCAAGAAGCAAATGGTCTCATCAACAGTGACAAGCGGTGAACTTGAAAACAATTCTCTTGTGGATCTTGAAAAGCCTAAGAAATTAGAAATGGAGAGTCCTTTTCAGAAAATCTTTGAAAAGATGCTAAAACTGTTTACAATAATTGTGTATTTAACTTTGGTAAAAACTGACAATTTGATACATTGGTTTTACATTTTGGCATGTGTTTTCTGGCCAAAATGTCTCGATTTCTCAGCCTAATGAGATTTATTTTGTGACTGAAATAAAATTTCTGTACCTTGCTTCTTGTTTTGTGTTTCATTTTATTTCAGGTTAGTTTGCAATGGTATAATTTTCAAAACTGAAAATTATACCATAGTCTGGGTATGGTATAATTTACGGTTATTGGAAATTATACTTGGAAGAATTTTACATAAGAAGCGCTGATGAGCTATAGGTTAATTTTTAATAAAGCATAAAATTGCTCTGCTAGAATGCTGAACTGGCTAGAAAATCCAGCTTGACATGCCTAAATAAATTTTAAATTACACTGCTGAAAAGCCAAGCTGCCAAAGCAATCCAAAAAAGCATTCTATTATTGAACAAGAATTCTCCACTATAATGGTCAGGTGGCAGAGCAATATAGCAGGACATGCAAAAATATAGTTTAAAAATACTCTGCTGTAATTATCAGCTGGCTAGGCATCGAGCATAGCATTCGTCAATAAAGTGCAATACCCTGATGGACTGCAAAGCGGAAAATGCTATAACGCAGGGCAATCCCTAATGTAGTGCAAGAAATGCTCTGCTGCAATGCTCAGCTAGCGGGGAAATATAACAGGACATTCCAAATTATAGTGTAAAATTGCTCAGCTCGAATTCCCAGCTGAATAAGCAATCCCGAGTGGCATTCTGAAATATAGTTTGAAATTGCTCTGCTGAAATGTCGAGCTGGCAGAGCAATCTTGGTAGGTTTTATTCAATAAAGGGTAATAAATTTTCTGCTGGAATACCGAGCGAGCTGGCAGAGCAATCTAGCGGGACATTCATAGCTGTAATTCTGTAATAATATCACGTAACAAATCTTAATTTCCTTAAATAAGAAAAAACGATAAATTTGAATTTTTACATATTTAGTTTATGAATTCTTTTTCTGAAAGGGTAATTTAAATATAGTTTATCCCCAGGCAACATGATATTTGTAACAGAAATAATGTTTTTAATTGATATCTCTTAATTTAACTTAAGTAATGCGGTTTCTCTTTTATACATTTGTATCTTTAATTTAGGGATGCATTATGTGAAATACTTAATTTATTTTAAAACGAAGAAAAAATCATGTATTTTCGCGAGGATTTCATAACTGCATGTAAAGCATTCTGTTTCTAAAATTAAACCATAAAAGACTATTTAATAACTGAAATATAATAGGAATACTTCTTTTTTATCCGTTTTTCTTACAACACGTTATAGAAGTGAATCGTTCAAATGAAATGATTGGTTTCAATTGTTTCTTCTGATCTTCATAACAGTTTTCATAAGAGAGTAATAATATCCCCAACACGTGTACCAATTAATGCCTCGACCGTAGTCGGTATCCGCTCCGTCTAGGTATAGTCCATTTAGATTCGACAGATGGCAAGCTTTGTGCCACCAAGCTCCACTAAAAACTACTGCACAGTTTGTGTCAAAGATGTCATTATCACTGTCTATAGTTGTAAACTGGCAATCGTTCTGATTCGACATTGAGTCACCACACGAGCCGTTATACCCTTCAACTCTCAATCTGTATTTATCATTTTCGTCATTAATTCTGAAGGTCGAGTATTCAGCAAAAGCAGACACTGGATCAACATTGTAATTCTTAAATGCCTCAAGGTATACATGTAGTGAGCTACTGTCACTAGTCAAATAGTAAATATTTTCTAGCCCTAGCCAATATTCACCGCCTCTGTTTCCGAATCCATGTTTGTATTCCTCCCAATTTCTATAGAAATATTCAGATCCGTCTTGCCGGCGTTGTATAACCGTCCAACCACCATTGGTCATATCACACCACACATCAGTGGAAGTAGAACCTACAGCTGGCTTGATCACATACAACCCGTCTTCCGTATATCCTTGTTGATAAAGGGCAAGGCAGTCAATTGGTTCTGGTTGTTTATGTATTCGTTTTACCTTTTGACCGTCTTCCTGAAAAAAGGCATTTAAATAAATCATTTTAAGAAATATTCGCATCAGATAACTTCCATTGACATAATCAACATTGAACCCATATTCGAACTATGTTTCATTTGATATTAGTGCATAATTTCACTTGGAATATCTTTTTTGACGATACATTGTTGATACAAGTAGAATCGAAAGGATATATATTCACCTACCGGTATTTTATTTTACCAGTAATAAATTATTGTAGTTGAATATTTGTATGGATTTGAAAGTCAACTTAAAATTCATTATAATTATTTCTTAACAAGTGAAGGTGACGAAATTCAATAAATGGTAACGTTTCATTATGCGCAGCCAAGTTGAGTTGAATAAGAAGTAATAATATTGTACAGTATTAAATATTTCAAATGATTTAATTTTATAATTTTGTTTGATAAATAATTCATAATTATGAATATATTTAAGTTAAAATTTAAAGCTACCTAAGTTATAAAAATACTGTTATTTTTTATAGTTTTATATCATAAATATAGTGCTCAAAGATTTATCAATATTGTAAGTTCCAAAAAGTGTTATTTGTAAAATACAATACATTAAAATTTTCATGTTAATAAAGGGATTAATTAGAAATTTATTTTTTTTAGTCAAAGTCATTTTTTTCAATAAGAAGTGAATGCATATATTTTAACGATTTCATATAATGTTAACTAATATTTTCAGTACATATTTTACATATTATTCGACGTTCGAAAATTGTTTTAGAAGCAAAATTATATACAAATATAAAACGTCACTTAAGTGAGGTAACAATCTTAATAAAAACATGATCTTTAAATTGCAATTCTAGCACAAAACATGACTTCTGAAAAAAACAAACAATTTTTGGCAAAATCACTTTACGAACGGATATTCCAAATTTAAGTTTCATTTGGCAATTATACTTAGCAAAAAATAGATAATTCGAATTAATAATCAATCAATGATAATCAAAATAGAATAAATAATCAGCATTTCCAGTTTGGATCAATGTCTTTTATAGTTATCAAACATGAATCATATATTTCTGTACACTTAATTATATTGACTATGAAAACTTCATTTAGTCTTTATTATTAAATTTTCGATAACTAGTTGTCTAATTTAAAAGTAACATAATTATATAGAACCATCAAGGTGTATTAGGGAACGTATTAATCCTATGTGTATCAATCTATATCCGATCAAGAGAAAAGTTTTTTCGAAAATAATATATTTGAAATGGTAATGAATTATTACAGTGAAATATTTTCAAATCTAATATAAAACTACAAAATTAGAAAATTATTCTTTGAGAATTAGATTGAGCATAAAAAATGATATTTGTTTTTCTTCTTTTTTAATTGAAATTTTGTTATGATTATTAACAATGACAACTATTAATCTTCCGATTTAAATTGTTTATTAGTCTTACTTGAATATATGACATTGTCACATTTACAGTTCGTAGTCCATGGATTATTCCGCCGCCGTCCCCATTTTTGTCTGTGACATAATCATCAGCAGAGCTACAAAAACATGATGAATTTCTTTCACTGAAGTAAAACGACGGCAGTGCAAGTTCCTGACAATGAAAAATGCAGGATATCAATGTCTGTTCATTTTTGAGAACCATTGTCTCGCCTGTTGGAGGCATATATGATACATTTTCTATCTCGAATGAAGCATAATTTTCCAAAGTAAGCACTTCTGATAAACAGTGACTAACTGCAAGAAAAACCAGAATCACATTTGATGTATAACACATAATTATCCGTTCATCCAAGTTAGAAAAATACCTTCCAATGCTCTCAGCTTTTTATACCATATGGAAACTATTTATTCGCATACAATCTTTCGACCAATTTTTGTTGTTTATAGAAAAACCGAAACCTATAATAAGTTATTGATGAATCAAAATTATCATGTTAAAGTTTCGTATTGTAAAAGTACCATTTCAGACGTTCATATGATAAATTGTTTAGTTTCAAGCCAAATATGTTTTTAGATGAATTGCTACTTAACGATCTTTATAGAAAAAAGTATATATACCGTCACTAAACACAACCGGAAGCAATTAAATAAATCAATAACAAGGGGATAAGCTGTTAATGTTTTATTGTTCCTAGAAAAACGTGTGTAAATAATTTGAGAAAGGTTTTTCCTAATTTCTACAAAAATCAATCAAATGTTCTATTGGTACATTTAATTAATCTGAAAGCGAGTTTTTAACATGACACTGCTCTCCACGGTTCCTCGGCAATGACACATACTTATAATATGATTGTTAGAATGTTTAAATTAAGTAAACAATGTTATAAAAATAGAATGCTTAATGAATCATTTGATTGGATTATTGCACCAGGATGTGTTTATATTGTATTTCTGACGTCATTTACATGGTAACAATGAACTTAAAGTATTTCCCGTTACCTATTTTTATTTTAATTTATTTTGTAATAATTATTATATTTTTCAATTGACTTACCTTATATTACCTGTGTTGACCTTACAATTGCAACTGTGAATAAAATAGTTGTAGCTCAGACTAAGTATAGAATAAATACCACTATAAGAATTTTGAAATTAATAATTCTATTTCTAATTCTAATGATATCGATATAAATCAAATCTGTAGAAATAAACAAAGTTGTCACAAGTCGATATTTATCAAATGTATAGGTAAAAACACAGTTGTGATAAGCAAATTTCAATAGTTTGACCTTGACTATATTTCATTGACGATTATTTGCCTCAATATTTATTAGAATACTTTTGTATTTTCCTTATCTTTAAGATAATCAAATAAAGGATATGGATATTAAATAATATAAAACAAGTTAAATTTATAAACATAATTCATTGAACCGGTTAAATAAAAATCCTATCACGCTAGACTCTGGAAAGCCCAACGATTTTTATTCGACAAGTTAAATTTGTCAATATACCTACACAATCATAATATAAATTCTATTTATCTAACAAATAGATATGATAAAGATTTTTGACACACCTTCATTCATGCATATTAGACAGAATAACCTGCCGCTTACATCAGTGCTAGATTAAAGTTTCTTGCCACCCAGTGTCAGAAAAACGAGTTTCACAAATAACGGCATTCCTGCGTGCCTTTAACGATTGAATGCGTTCTTAAGATGACGTAATTTTCTGTTTTGAATGAAGTTGTGCATTTATACGCTACTATGACACATAAGTGGTAAAAGATAAATAATAGTTTCGTTATTTCCAAAAAATAATTAATATCATTAAAAGTTGTAAAATAAACATGGTGAATTTTGCTTCAGTCGGTGCTAGGGATATGGACAGTAGCTTCTACTTTCCAGTACTGTTCTTGAACATGCTTAATCAAACAGAATGTTCCTTTATGGATTCTATTTCTCTCTATGTTATAAAGAACATGCAAGAAAAAAGAATCAAACACTGGCTATCACCACAGACGGGAATAACGTGTATAGCTCTTGGGAAACTGTTAAGAAGAAACTCGATAGCACCTCGTTACCGCCGTAAACAGCAACGCTCGAGCTACATAATTCGGTTTGTACAGGCAGCCGGTGTAAGGTCCATAAAGTGTCACGCAGACATCTGCATGCTGTTATTATATGTTTGTAAAACAAAAAGTGTCGTTATAAGGTTATTAAACAAGCATATTATCTTATTTTCGATTTATTTTCCACGTGCCACGTCCTAAATTATTTTCCTTGTAACTTTCTTTATTTCCGAATTTGAGTCAAAAAAAAAATAAATAAAATTATACCAACTTAAAGACAACTCCTACAGATTGCATGTAAACATACAGGCACAATGAACACACTTTAGAAAAGTCTTAAAGTCTAACATTGTCTTACCATCTGGAAGAAAAGAGTACCGAAATTGAAACAAAAACAAATGAACGTTCTGTTTCAGGCATTATTTTTGTTGCTGTTTTTTGTTGGTGTTATTTCATCTGATTTAATGTTTATATCTTAATGTACAGTAAACAATATACACTTATTCGTTTAAACGATGAAGATGACCGCTTAATTCCTCAGAAACACATTAATAGAAGATATTTTTGCGAACATTTCATGATTTAAAATGAGCAGTGAAGGACAATATTGTAAATTAATACCATTGCATTTTATACATATACGAGTATATTACTTTGATGAACAAAAAAGTATATTCCGTAATTTATGATTCCTTTATGTTCTTTTTTTTCGTTTAACTATTATGATACTTAAAACACTGACACTGTTTTGTTGTCGTGGTTGCAAAATACTCATTTCGTGTAATAGTATGAATCTAATATAAATTATATGAACATAGTAAACATGTTTAATGTAGTCTTACTGCAATGCTGACCCACAATATTGGCCAATTTTATGGCAAATCGGTTATTTCCGGAACGTTGTTTTTCAAAATCTTTGGCATCAGATTATTTCTAATAACTCACGTTTTATCGCTATGTACTAAATTCCGGTTATAAACGGTTGAAAATTATCTAAAACCGAAAACTGTGATTTTTTATTCGCAAACGACCGATTTATTACGGTATCGGTCAATGTTGGAAATGTATTGGCGAGAAAGCATTAGAGTAAGACAACATTAACTTCAAAAGTATCAACGTATATTCGGAACGATAAACAATGGAGAATATTCGCGTCTTAATTTTGAACACATGCTCTGTTGTTTTATTTCAAGAACATGTTTTTCACTCTCAGAAAGATATTGCCTCATTTCCTACTATGCCAAGAGGTTAACAGCGACGTCATGTCAATGTATATATAATGTTGATATGACGTCGTTAATTCTGAATAAATATTTATGTTATTTTGTATGACGAATAAATCAATCATATGTTGAGTATGTTCATATGTAAACAGTGATAGTATGACATGATGTGAAACAATGACGAGACATATGTTCTCAATACATCTACATTGTACTTTTATTCGTGTGCTTGTTATTGTCAATACATTCCCTGAAAATGATGATACTTTCTGCAATTTGATCAGATTTCAACTCCTATGAATAATTAATAGCGTACTATTTATAAAAATGGATGTACATGTAAATAATTAAATAAATAGATAAATAAAAAATTAATGATAATAAACAAACACACACATAAACAAACGAAAATCAAAACAAGGGTACTTAGTATATTTGCATAATATTATTAAATATACTTGGAGAATTCAAACATGACATTAAAATATAAGCTTGTGTGTATGAATCAGTATTGTTCTGCGTTTTTAAACAATATTCAATTGAAACAATTAAGAAGTCAATAGCATATCAGCACAAACGCATAAATTACACAGTGCGTTAAGAAGATCATTTTGTTAATAAAGCTAATCGGGGAAAAAAACATTTGAGACAAGGTACACTTTTAATTTTCTGGGCTAACAATGGGACAAAACAATCGATTTTCAAGTTAATGATTCAAATGTATCTTTATCATCCTTTGCATAGTTTTCATTTTAGGTGTTTCACTTCATCTAAATTAAATTATGTTTTGTTTTTTTTTCAAATTGTATGATTTTATGCCGTTTAACCTCAGAACATCTTTCATTCCATATTAGTATTTGCTAATAGTTACATATTTCAAGAGATGACAACATTTTCATCATGTAAATCGCTAATAAAATGATGTTCTATTCAATGGTAATTTCCTGCTTTTGTTATTATTTTAGTGTTTTACATTAAGCCGGTCTTCCTCTCGTTTACTAGGGTTATATGGAAATATTGGTCTGAAAAGTACTCTTCTGTGCTGGTCTATTTTATGGTAATCTAAGAAGTCACGTACAATTTTACAGATTGCAAACATACTGTAGTGTACAATAAAAAGAAGACAAAATGAACAACAACAACAACACAAACACAAAATAAAACAACAACAAAAGACATAAACCAGTCAATTAGGAATTACAAATATACTATTGACCTATTTAAAATTCTCAATAAAACAGTCTAAAGATTACGTTTCGTTGAAAAATTATCATGGTTATTTGCTTATGTATTTTTTGTCTTACATGTAACAATGAAATATCCCAAGAAGATATATAAATTTTACACGCAAGATACCATATTTCTAATATAAAACATAATAAATCGACTTAAAAAACTCTTTAAATAATTTATTTCCTATCATATTTTTGTCAGTTATTGATATGTTGTTCCATGTGCAAAGCATTGGATAATTCTTTAAATAAGGCAAGATTCTTTTGACACAGTAATATTATCCTTTAAAAAAATCATAACAAAAATGTCTAAGTTTAAATACTGTTTTATGAAATTTTCTTAATTAAAAGTTCAACGAGTTTGGTGTTTAAATGCTTTAATATGAATTACAGTATCGTCTGTGAATAGGCGTACTCAAGCGGAGTCAGCTGTGCCTGTCAGGTCTTTCTCTATAGAAAATGAATCCCCCCGGAAACCATTGCTAAACAGTTAAAACTCTAATAAGAATAGCAAAATAATATTTCGTTCCGAAACAGTTTACCCTGTTCATGTGTGTTAAATTACAAAGGCATCCTATATAATGGCACGATTCTTTCGAGAATCCACCATATGAAAATGAAAACAACATAATATTATTGTGAACAAAATTTGTAAAAATATTTTTATAAGATATAGCTCACCCTTTGGAGAGTAATACGCTTTGTTTCAAAGGTTACTTTTTAGTCTGGTGTCATTTTTACTTCATTTTTGAAATCGTATGTGTGCACAGGTAACTCACGCGAGTCTATTCACATTACAAATGCATAGTTGCCATTTATTTTAAAGACAACTGCAAAGCACCGCCTCCGTGGTCGAGGGGTTAGAGTCGATGACTTCTAATCCAGTTACCTCTCTGGCGTGGGTTCGATCCCCGGGAGATGCTTTGGTAGTTTAGGGCGTAGGAAGGGATTCTAATACTGGTGTAACTCTCCAGGAACGATGGTTAGAAAACTACCCGCCTATATGACTGAAATACTGTTTGAAAAAGGCGTAAAATGAAACAAACAAACAAACAATTTGTAAGCACATGTCATATCAATGTACGACTCAATTT